AGTTATCTATCAAGTTATTAATATTAGTTAATCTTAATCAATGATTATACCGCTATTTAATACTATATGATTGAAATTATTAATATTTCAATTTTTTATGTGATAATATTCTATTTATTATTTACTAATTATTTATATTGTAGCGTATGGATTTATCCTGGACAGATGAGCAATGTAGCGATAGATTTGATTATACCCGACAATGTTGCACCAGATACAGCTAATACAGTCACCTTATCTATCTCGGGTACTGAAATAAAGGAAAAATCTGTATATTTATATGTACAAGGATCACTTTCAAAGGTAATCATTAAAAAAGTCGATCAGAAAAAACAGTAATTTTCATTATAGTGTGTTACAATATCTAGCTAACAGATGATATAAAACCAATTATCGAATATTCTTTCAATGATAATTGCGTTGGAAAATTGGAAAAAGATCGATGCTATAAATCTTATTGGAGCGTTGATGTTACAATTCAAGATCATGATTCAGGTATTGATTAAATTTTTTAAAAAACTTTTTTAAAGAACTTTAATTAAAACAAAAATATCTTTTTTTTTTATAATCTAACATAAATAAATTAGTATGAAATTATCTTGTTGCTTTATTCATATTTATTTATATAAATTTATATTATATAAATATATAATATATATTATAAATATATATAATATAAATATATATTAATATAAATTTAAACTTATTTATTTATTATATTTATATTATATATATATAAACTTANTTTAAAATGTGTAATATCATCATTAAATGATATTTATCCACGTACGGATTTTATTAGTGGTACAAGAAATCCTATAACATTTTATTATTCTGCTACGTGTTGTGATAAAACAGTCAAAATTACAGCTATAGATTTACTAAATAATTATAACACTATAATTATAGATGTTACAGGTAATTAGTAGATACATTAGTATTATAATATTTGTTGATATAATTTATTATTCAATAAATAAATATATAAATCAAATATACAAAAATTTATCATTAATATATATATTATAAATTTATTTTAAACTTTTCATTAATTTAAAAAAAAAATATTACAGAAATATTTTGTATTTTTTTAATAAAAAAAATATGATCTATCCTTTCAGCATGGAACAACTTATCAGAAGCAGAAATTGCAGCTATTACAACGGGAGCATTATTAGTTTTGTTACTTATTGTTTTAATTGTTATTTTAATCATATATTGTGTTCGAAAAAGAAAAAGTCATGATTTGCCTTATACACAACGATATGGATCTAGGCCACCTACACAATCAGAAAGAACTAATTTTTAATCTTTTATTAATACTGAAAATAACTGAAATAAAATAATACTAAAATAACTGAAATATGTATATTAAAATAATATACATTGAATATATAAACTTTATTATTATAGAAGTTAATATTATAATTATTACAATTAAATTATATTTATACAAAATATATAATAAATGTACATAAATTGTTATTAAATTTTAATTTAATATAAAATTTAAATATATAATATTATGATCTTAATATTGATATTAAATTAAAGAAATTATATAATTGTAAATTAAAAATGTTTAAAAAAAATGAAATATTAAAAAAACAAAATCTGTTTCAATATTTTGAATATTTTTTCTATTATTATAATTAATTAATGAGTAATATAATTAAAAAAAAATAAAATAGTTCTGTTTATTTTACAATTATATAAAATCATAAACAATATTAAGTTTAACACAAATTTAATTTTTAAACAAAATAAATATATTGAATTATAAATATGTTTCTTTTGTAAAAGATTTTTAAAATTAATAAAAAAAATAATATAACAAACAATGTATATATTTACCCAAATAATGTAAAAGTAATGTAAATAATGAAAAATAAAAGGAGGAATTGTGATGTCGATAGTTTTATAATAAATATCTATTCACATATTTTATCACGTGTTAACAAAATTATGAAAATATGAATCTCTAAGAACCCCACCCAGGTACTTCATTAACAGACTCACCATCGTGGAGTACCACAGGTGTTGCAGGCGTAACAGGCACCAAAAATGCATTTTCAGTATAATTTTCAAACGGAAAGCCTTCACCAGCTGCTGATAATAATGGATTTTTCACTTTACGTGATGCACCACTCATATTTGTAGTGACTTTGGCAACTTAAAAATACTGCCATCAAAAGATAACTAAACTACAAATTGCAAAACACTGTCAATCCACCATAAACTATAAACATTTAACCTATACTTTATAGCGCCACGTCTACATAAGTAAGTAGTACATATATGTGTAATAGAGGTCGCATATGAAAGGCGAGCAAAACTAAGGAATTAATATCTGAAAGACTTAAAAACATGCTGCTGCTCTCTATAGAAATATATGTGCGCATGCGTTATTTAATATCAGGCTATCTTCAGAGAATTAATCTTTGAAAATTAATTTTTTTTAACTAAATTATAAAATATCTTTTATTTTTAATTTCCATATATTTAATAGAAATATTAATATCATTATAATATTAAACATAAAAATATATATTTTTTCTATTTAGAAAGATAAACATTTATTCTTCGACGCGGGAATTTCAAAATAATTTCAAATACAATTTCAATTTCTAAAAAAATAAAAAGTTTTTTTTTTATTATATAAAATTAAAAAATAATAAAAAATAATAAAAAAATTTTTTTTATTATATAAAATTATATAATTAATTTA